ATTTATACTCCCCAAAAACTCAACAACTTCACTTTCCCGCACTAGTGCGTGGTTAGAACATGAAAACTTATTGAAAATCTGTAGTCATTTTTGTATTAATTGAATAAGGATTCTGATAACTTGAGAAATAAGTCATTGCATGCCGCTGAAAGTATATCAAATCAAATAGACCTTTTCAAGTAAGGTACCGAATTCTATTGAATTTCTTCTCGAAGTTATGTTGGAGAACGGTAATATTTTTGTGAATCTCGACTCCATCTGGTAATTCTTTGACAGGCGAGTGAATACTTAGTTGAGAATGTTGAGATATTTAATGTCTGAACCACCTTGTATCTCGTTTTGGAATAATGTATCGAACGAATGAATCATGAAACAAAGTTTTGAAAATGAAGTACCTATATTACACCTTTCCAAAATACCATCGAATCATTTCAAGGGCTCTACTGGCTCAGAATTTCTTGATATATTTGACGGTTCTGTTTTGACATATTTTGTATATCTACATAATCTATTGATTGACTGCATACCTATACAGGGGTTCCAGAGAAAAATTCAATTGATGTATTATTCCGGATTTTTTGGATTTTCTCTCCTCGTTTCAATAAAATAAAATTATGAATATTATCTCAATCTACGTGTAGTGAGGACAAATCAGAGCTTTTGCCCCAAAATGTCATTGCGTTTAAAGAATTTTTCTATCAGAGGGCCTAAAAGAAAAATTCACTAGCAATTCAGTAACAATTTGTATTGATAGAGGTTTGGAGAAGAGAAATAAAGGTACTTATATAGAAAAAATATCATATCAATGCTAAGTAATTCTCTTCTCCAAACCTTTTTCAATACGAATTGTCACTGACAAACTAGTGAATTTTTCTTTTAGGCTCTCTGATAGGAAAATTCTTCAAACGGAGTGACATTTTGGGGCAAATCATCCTTGCAACAGGTATATCGAGATAATATCCATATTTTTATTTTATAGAAACGAGGAGAAAAAATCCCAAAAAATCTGGAATAATAATGAATGTACCACCTCCTCGATTAACCTACAGATAGTATTCAATTAATTGAATTATAATAACGAAAGTTTGGGTATTATGATTTTAGGTCAAACAGGAAGGTGGAAGAATTCTCCAGATTACATTTCTATAGCTTCATAAAACATAAAACAATAACGCGTTATCTCCTTTATTTCCTCTGCCTTCTTAATAGAGCTTTCTCATAATGAAGTGCTCCTCAATGGAAGTTTTTCATTTTCGCTTGCTCACATCTTTTCATCATAAATTAACGAGAGGCAACTCCCATCAATTCTGTACCACAACATCTTACATGGCAGGCACATCAAAGATTAATTGCTCTTTGCTCTGCCTGTATGTATGTATATCTAATGGTATTGCTAGATGGAAGATTTATCCGATCGTCCGCCAGGGGTCGTGGCACTCGGTGCGGCTGCTATCGCTCACCAACTCCATCAATCACTAGTGAACTTTGACCTCGATCAACCAGAAGCAGTGGCGAAGTTAGCCTCCAATTTCAGGAGGGCTCAAGCCCCATCAGGTGCAATCAAGTGCGTAGATACACTGGGAGAAATTATCCGTTGTGAATACCTAAAGATCACTATACCATACCAAGCGTTGTGGTTGAATAGGCACTAGTCACTACATTCGTCAAATATAACCACTACTAAATAGTATGATTGAGGCGATATGACATACTGAAGACCAGTTATTAGGCACCCTACCTGTACGGTTATTATCCACCGCACTACAAATGAGTGAGTAATACTATACAGCTCGTCGGTTCGTATTTACCACTACAAACAATAAATTTGAATATCCAAAAAGAGAGCTTGAAAAATCCAAATCCTCTGGAATTGTGAATTGACTTCATGATATAAAAATATAACTTTATAAGGAGAGAGGAGAGAGGAGGAGAATGCAAATTCTCAACCTCAGAAGATTTTGTTTTCAAATTCTTGTGTGTGTTCAATAGATGTAATTCAATATTCGTCGTGACATATAGCCAGGAAAGTAGTTGTTTTCTGTTGAATAAACCGAGAAAGAATTAATATTTTCATCACATGGAGAATGCGAATTCTCAATGTATTTCTTTATATATATATCCATTTGTTTGTGTTCATGAATATATCTGAGAATGTTCCTTTTCAACATTTTCACCCAATCAAGGGGTACAAACTTGAACGATGGAAACTTATTGTTATTTTCATAGACCTCAATCGCGGATTCGTGATTAAGTTTTTCTCAATTCAGAATTTCTATCCACGTCCTGTATGATGAATGCCAATTTATCATGCATACAAAAAAAAAAGAATAAATAAATTTATACCTCGATTTATACTCTACTTATTTAATTCATATTTACTACAAAATATAGTGATTTCTACCTATAGATTCGTTCATTTTTCTACCGCCGTCAGGGACATATTTATTTGGAGAAAAAACCGGAAAATATCACAGAATCTCAATAATTTCCAGATATGTTATGATAATTATGTAGGTAGTATATAGAGATAGTTATCTGAGTATATCAATGAAGTTGGGAATGAGAGAAAAATCGAATTATTGTGTAAATTTGATTTTTGTGTACTTACTGTAGAACATCGCTAACAACTCTTTGAGTTACCACTATCAGGTACAGTTCACACTTCACAGTACCACAGTTTGTAGGTAAGTAGGTACTTACACTATACACATGCACTGCAAATCCATGGGCCAATGAAATTTATTTCATTCATAATTCACCAGACGAACGCAACGAAAGATGAACTATGATCTGTATGAACTGATGAAACGACCACGTCAACGCCAAGCCACCTGCATTGAAAAAAACGAACGTCGACGATCGGCTTCGTGATTTCGGCATATTATTCTCTGATGTGGTAGATCACAAAAAGTAAACCTATTATTATTACCGTACGCACTAATACGTAGTGGTAAATAGAAATATCAGGGGAGTAACATTCAACACAATCCTAATACCACTACATAAGAGATATTTATTAATTACTAGATATGGAACATCTTATTTGATGTAGTGGTGAATAATAGTTTGAACTATTGATATTCGGAGGTGGTATGCAATAGGTTTGTCTGAATATTGATCACTCAAATAAGTGAATTCACGAATATGTGTTGTGTTTGATGAAATTAATTCGAAACCACCGTTACATTTAGTAACACCATAGATCTAAATATACACACACAGATTTTCATTCATTTTATCAGTGTACCTTTTTCTCAATCCTTTCGCTACTAAAGAACTGGAAATACTACTGAAATCTCAACTTATAGAAAATTCAATTCGTAAACCTGGTGGTACCCTTGTTTTGCACCAGTTTTGCACCTGCACTACTTTATTTCTCTCCAAAATGTGAACTTTTGACTTTGTTGATTTCTATTGATTCAAAGATTCAAGAATAAATTCGAAAAATCAGAGGTATACAAACTCAACTGTGGATCTTGTCCTAAGGTATATATCGGTCAGACATGTCGTACGTTTAATCAGCGCATTCATGAACATAAGATGAATTTTATGAAAAAGAAAACAAATTCAACATACGCTTACCATATATTAGAAAATAAAGGACTGTAACTCAATCATTTTGAATCATTAGATATCAAAAAACTCAAAAATTTTGACAATTTACTTAATGATCAATTAGACCTCAATAGTTCACCACTGTTAAATTTGTTTTCTTAGTAAGTAATAATATGTATTTGCTATCAACTCTTTCAAGTTGATCCGGTATACCGTATTTTAATGTAGATATTGTGCTTAATTACCGTAAATGGAGGTTTATCGTACCTGTCCACAGGTAACTAATCTTTCAGGTTGGGAAAGTAGGATGTATAAAAGTTAAGCAAGCCAACGTTAGTTTAGTTCATTGTACCAGTATATCACCTGACGAAGCTACTGTCTTAGCGAAACATGTCGTGTGTTTGAGAATTTTGTGGAAATCTTATCGTTTGTGAAGTTTTTCCATGTCTCCTCCTATGTACCGTAGAACACGTTAATCGATGTCAAAAATCGATGTCGAAAATAATTTCAGTGAACTTTGTCGTACCTATCTATAGTTATCGATATCATGATGAAAGGAATATTGAGTAAACTGATTCAAGAAAACTAAGAAGAGGTAATTGGACATAGCCCTCATAAAGAGAACCGCAGCACGTGTTTCGTGCATTTGACCCTCATCAGTAAGGTCAAACACCGAGACACGGATGTCGTGGTGACGTCAGTTGTAGACCTGAAAATACTGACTGAAACCACAATAATTGTACGGCTGGCTTCTGTTTGTTGACTCCGTCTATTTGTTGTTTTTTCTTCCACCAAGTGTTGCCTATCTTTTGCACTTCTTTCACCGTACTGATGAGGGCCGAAAGCCCGAAACACGTCTCTGTGGTTAACTCTTCATGAGAGCCATGTTCAATCACCTCTTCCTAGTTATCGATATCCATAGTTTGGAACTTCTGGTGAGCACCGAATCAACAAATTCACTATTACCAATAGGTTTTATGTTAATTCCCAATTATATGAGTAAATGTTGTTCGACTTACTAAATACCTCGGTAGTTTGGCAATGAGGTCTTACCTGGAAGTAAAGTCTGCTAAACCCAATGACCATCTTTGTTTATTTAGTGCTATGAACAGAGATAACTATAGAAAATGAACTTCACTCTTCAGCAGGTTATGTAAAATCGACGAACAAACCTCAGCTGAAATTTAAAAATACATAATTACATAGATATTTTCTTCATATCGAATTGTGAAGGTCACATTATCACTTCACTTACACCTACACGAATATATTAATGAATACACTACACAAAAATGAATCCACTTCAATCATAATATAGAGCACTTCCAGTTGTTCTCTTCCAAATATCAGTAGATTTTTTGTGGACTAGTCTATACGACATTGGATGAGTGCATGGAAATTATATCGAATGATATTTCGTGCAAAAAAAATAGATAAAAGAAAGAAGGATGTGATGCTACTGGGAAAAAAACTGATTTTCACATCCTTTTCGATAAATAAATACAGTTTTATTTCTGATTACTCCACAACATGACACTGATAAACAATGTGTTACTCTGTATATTATTCGCTGTGAATTTAAATTTCTGTTTTTGTATCACAAGAGTATACTTTTCAAAATGTGCTGTAGGAGGTTTTACTTGCACTGTAAGGCCTGTATCAAGAAACATAAGTTTTTTGAACCTGACCTATCAGTGTCCCAGCGGAGTAGATGTGAGTACTCATACAATTTTGTTCAATTTATTCATATAAAAAAACATACATTACTAAAGTATCAATAAGCTTCAATCGTTATTAATCCACGAAAAATAATACCACCGTTTATACCGGGTGACACAGGAGACATGTAGCAGCCTGTAGTTTTTTTATTTGAAAAGATAAAATTTTGAAATTCACAGGGAGTATATAATAAATGGTAGCGCACTTTACGAACTTAACGACAATTTTTTTCAACCACCTGTTTGACCGGAAGTGACCCCAACTTTTTTTTTTAAATGTCACCCTGTACATTTTTTCAGTCTATCTTTTTTGCCTTGAAATTCTCTATCCAACCATATATTATGACAAAGTGGCATTCATTCCTTAATTCGCTGTTGAATCGCTTTTTATTCAAAAAGAATAAGTTGGCTGTGACATGAATTCGATGATATATCGACACTTGGTAGGCTTTGAAATTCAAATATCATTAGTAAACCGATAATATATTCAAAATGTTTTGATATTCTGATCAATGTCTGCAGGTTGTCAATAGCTGTTTGAGTCAAGATGAAAACCTTCGAAAATAACTCATGATATTGAGGAATCAAAGATAGGAACTTCCTTTCATCGTTCTAATTATGGTATGCATTCTCCTATTGATCGTACACTCAGATTGGTGAATGAGAAAAATATAGAGATAACGGGCATAACTCTTACTGCATTCAAAAATAATGTATTGAGAACATTATGAGCATGAGGGAGTAATTTTTCCATCTATTTTCATATTTATAATGTATACTATAATTATTAATTAGTTAAACTCTTTTAGTGACTACATAGATTTAATACATGATTTGTATTCATTATAATGGGGGTTACCCGTACAATAAATAAATAAATAAATAAAAAAAAAAAAAAACATATTTATTCGAATCCAGCTACTCGTACAGAAACTACCTGTCTTTTATTTTCGCCATGTACCTATCACATGATCTTCCCATTTGGAATAATAAAACTAAAATTGTTCCTCTTATACGATGATCCACAGGGTTATCAGTCTATTTTTTCATAATTATTTCACTTAGTAGGCGGTGTACCTACACAAAATGTTTTATGTGCTTGACAGTTAATCGATTGCATCAATAATTTTTCCTCTTCATTTGTGTGTTGATTAAAATTGCATATTATCAATAGAGACGGAAAATGTATTCAAGAAACGAAAAAGTCTATATCTCAGATTCCTCAACATCATGAGTTATTTTCGAAGGTTTTCATCTTGACTCAAACAAGCTATTGACAACCTGCAGACATTGATCGGAATATCAAAACATTCTGAATAATATCGGCTTACTAATGATATTTGAATTTCAAAGCCTACCAAGTGTCGATATATCATCGGATTCATGTCACAGCCAACTTAATCTTTTTGAATAAAAAGCGATTCAACAGCGAATTAAGAAATAAATGCCACTTTGTGATACATGGTTGGATAGAGAATTTTAAGGCGAAAAAGATAGACTGAAGAAATGTACAGGGTGACATTTAAAAAAAGAAAGTTGGGGTCACTTCCGGTCAAACAGGTGGTTGAAAAAAATTGTCGTTAAGTTCGTAAAGTGCGTTACCATTTATTATATACATCCTGTGGATTTCAAAATTTTATCTCTTCAAATAAAAAAACTACAGGCTGCTACATGTCTCCTGTGTCACCCGGTAAATCTCACCATTGTTACCAACTGACCCTGCAAAATGTACATCAACAATCCCTTTGTGACAAGAATGAGATAGTTCTGGTAAACTAGAATAGATACAGAAAGAATCGAAAATCGAAGTTGTTTATAGTCATATGAATTTTCAATTTCAGATTATGTCAAGGATACAGGATGATCCATATGCCTGTGACTCACCAAACATACGATTTTTCAAATTGAAAACCCTGAATTTCATGTTGTATTTGGATAGAGCTCAAAAAGATGAGTTCAATGATATATGTTAACATGGGTCTGAGAGCACCCGTTTCGAACTTATCCATGATCTTCCTCAGTAAATAGCCAAACCGTATGTTTGTTATTTCACAGGTATGTGAATCATCCTGTAAAGTTGACATTATCTGGGAAAGAAAGTTTTTATGACAACTTCGAATCTCAATTGTTTTTGTATGTATTTACGTTTACCAGATAAGGAGGTGGCCCATAATATGTTATGTGGAATATCCTGGGATACCCTTGCATATGTTAGGGTTCAATAACTAAATTTGAAATCGAAGAAAATCTTCAATTTCCGAAATTCTACTAGACATCCGTTTTCCTCGATCACAAAAATTATCTAATTTGAATTTTCAAGCGAATCCGGGTGACATTGTCCACCATCTTGAATTTCCAAATGTCTTACTAGAAATGCATATTTCTAAACTCAGGAAAGAACACAATCCAACCGATATACACTGAGGAGCAAATCTGAGGAGAAACTAGAAAATTGTCCGCCATCTTGCAGAGGTCATCTTGAATTTTCAGATTTTTATTAAAATAGTAATTCACGTAACAAGTTCAGAAAATACTGTTTTTTTGGACGAGAAGACAAAATTCTAAACCGAGCCGTAGGCGAGTCCTGGAAGTCTGCGACTCCGAAAAAAACTATTTTTGGACGTGTTGAGACTGTTGAGACACATCTCCATATTATATTTCTTTGTAAAATACAATTTCTTCTTTATTAATTCTCACTTGTATGAAATGCTTAAATTTGAACAGAATACTTATACATACTAAGTTGTATTGGAAATTTCGTATGGACATTTTCAAACTCACTATCGCAGCTGCTTTCGATAGTTAATTGCGATAATTGGAACCAAACTTTCAAAAATCAAAATATCAACTGATTTCATGTCAAATAGCTGTCAGCCGATATTTCGCTGCTATGGTAATTATCATCGGCATTTATCAAAACCATATGTACCAAGATTTTCATAGTAACAGTGACAACAACGATGTGATACTTCCCGGACTATGCCGGAAAAATGCTACTTTCTCAAAGAAAAAGCGTCCGAAAAATGCTCACTTCCCGGAAATCACCAAATATACACTCTCATCCGAATCAAACAAAAATATAACCATATCATCTGCCATCTTGTTGGCGCCATATTGAATTTTTCAATTTTAACAGAAAATTCTTGTTCCTGGAATCCAGAAACACCCCGACATGAATTTTCAACCGAATTAAACGAGAAATGACGAAATCATCCGTCATATTGGAGGTGTCTTCTTAAATTGTCAAATTTCAAATGGAAATACCGGGTGACCAGTTATATTCTGACCCATTTCAAATGCTTATATCTCTGAAACCAATTTTGATATTTTCCAAGTTTTTTTTGACAGGTTCACCTTCTCTCTTGAACATCCGGTTCTACCGGAAACAAACTAGCCATTATTCAGGTATAGGGCAACTCTTTTATTTCATTGAATCACCCTGTATATTTTTGCACATTCAGAACGACTAGTCTTTTCTCTTTCTAACAATGTATAACAAGTTATGTTTTCTCAGAAAACTATCAGAGTTATAACTGTTTGAAACAACTACTGCATGTGGAATGGTTCAATGAGATTTTGCAATGTAACTAACCAAAGTCGTCTTTGGAAATCCTGATCACAACACATGAAATGCCAGATTAGATGTGTCAAATAAAGATTGAAGAGCATTTGTACTTTCTACGAGTTGGAAAAATGTTTACTTTGACTGAAAAAGCAAATGAACTCATCATAAATCTGCATCAGATTTATGGGTCATTCTTCAAAACGACTCAATATACGGTAATTCAGCTTTTCAGGATAACATCCTAATATGCAGTAGATGCTTCAAAGAGTTATAACTCTGATAGTTTTCTAATAAAACATAACTTGTTATACATTGTTAGGAAGAGAAAAGACCAGTCTTTCTGAATGTGCAAAAATATACAGGGTGCTTCGATGAAATAAAAAAGTTGCCCTATATATACCTGAATAATGGCTAGTTTGTTTCCGGTAGAACCGGAAGTTCAAGAGAGAAGGTTAACATGTCAAAAAAAACTTGAAAAATATCAAAATAGACTAGTCCAAACTGCACAACGATAACTTGAATGGTTTCAGAGATATAAGCATTTGAAATGGGTCAGAATATAACTGGTCACCCGGTATCTATTTCTCAATCTTAAAAAGGCCTGGCGCCATTTTGAAAAGTACATATTTTCTATAGAAATCAAAATATAGCACTCGTAACATAGGAGCCATTGAAAATTTCCCAAGCTGTTCATCAGTTAACTAGTAGAGAGGGAGGAGGGGGGTTTCCTAATGGACAATCAGCATTGAAATTATGGAAATAGTAAGAGATGGAAAGCCAGATAGAAAACTGAATAATCGGTAATTTTTCCCGTTCGTTCCTCTATACATAGACTATAGAATATCCATATAGGTATATTTTGATATCAAAATGTTGAAAATCCTACAATTCAGAGAATTATCCAATGTCTATACAAAATGATTTCGAAATAACGCGAAATAATATGTGAGTGATGCAAGACTGACTCATCTTTTTTTACAGGATGTACTCATAATGATAAATCAGTTCAGCAGCCCGACGAATGCTGAATCACTTCTGATTCAAAATTGCCGCAGATTGACCATATCAGTTAGATGTTCCTCTGAAAGAAAACTGATTAGATCCGTTCATATCAGAAATATCGGAACACTCAGTATACAACGTTTACCGTTCCATTCACATTTGCCACAAGAAGTTGCTTTGGAAAATATAGGATACATCGAGGATATACCCAGTTTCACTTTCTCTCAAATCGATAAAAGTGTATATACTACAGGGTGTGTATTGCCTCGAGATGATTTTCGCACAATTTCCCTCAAGAATTTGAAGATTGATACAGTGCAGTCGAATGGATTTTATGTGCCTAACGGTTTTGGGAACATCACTTTCACAAATGTTACGATCAACAGACTGCAGAGTTCGGCTGTAGTTGCGAAAATTAAAAAATCCGGGGAGTTCTTGATGGAAAAGAGCACTGTAGAAGTAGCTGAGCATCTTGCTCTTCGGCTGTTCACCGAAAAAGCTACTTTCAAACAATCATCATTCGTGGAAATTTCCTCCGGAGGAATAAACGGCACAATAGAGTCACTTTATTTCATGAACAATTCGGTGAATGCTTTACAACCGCACGCTTTCTCCATATTTTCTGGCAAAGTCCAGATCTCACACAATAGATTCGAGTATTTGAAGAGTGGATCCTTGGAAAAAATCAGTCCTGGCATGATGGAGACCTCGAACTTAAATTTTGGAAAACTGAAATTCGACTATGAGTTCACAGGCAATGCCATTAACTTCATGGACGCAGGCTGTCTTCATCCTGATACAGAAGCTTACGAGAATGTAGCAAGCGATATTGTTTTTCAAGAAAACGTCGTTCTATGCTCTTGCGATAATTCTGGTGAGTGTCATAATTATATATGATGGTTCAGTTTTTTGGATTCAAAATTCTGATGAATCTTGACTATATCTCCATTCAAACGTCAAAACTTCACAAACTTATATATTTCCACAAAAATCTTCGATATCATGATTGCAGTTATCAACAGATACAACTTTAATTTGATAGACAATATTCTTTCTAGAAATCTCCAGATTGAAGCAATTCAAGAATCAAAAATAATAATCAACAACAAAGAACTTTAACCTATTTCGGATCATCAACTGAAAAACAAGCTTCATTTCTACATGAACACAGAACTTAAAAGTTGCCCATAGAATAACAAAGAAAACGTTGGGAAGGTTTCTCAATAATAATAAAGACAAAACTTCAAAATTCAAAAAAAATTGAAATAGGTGGTAGGTAAATGAATTCAACTGTGGATCTTGTTCTAAAGTGAGATATATATCGGTCAGACAAGTCGAACGTTCAATCATTGTATTCATGAACATAAGACGAATTATTTGAAAAAGAAACAGATTCAAGGTACGCGAACCAAATATATTAAAAGAAAACCATATAGTTTTGATGATTATTCCACTCATTTCAAAATGCACGTTTTAGATTGGTTGAAATATCTGTATCAAAAAGGAATATTCCATGTCACATAAATTCAATTTATTTTGTTTGAATTGGATAGTAATTGTATGCACTCTTTTGAGAGCAACCATCTCCAAGATAATAATAAAAATACTGTTTATCAAAATTGTACATTCCACTTTGTGAATAACTATAAGTAGGTAGTTAATTTCTAAAAAAGTAAATTCTGTATTTCATTACTATCATAATGTTCTTCTTCGCAGTTCGAGTTGGAATATACTTAAATTATGTTTCCTATTTCTTATATATATTGTCTCATTCAATCATGAAATAGTCATACGAATACAACTCGTGATAATATTTTTCCTGGAAATATTCGTCGATTGACATACTCCAGCTTGCTGCTCTAATTTCGCTCATGACATTGATCCAAAACTACTCGCCTACGGCTCGTAGTTTTGATAACAATGTCATTCACGAAATTACTAGGCAACAAGCTGTCGTAACAATCACCGAATATTTCCGGCAAAATATTATCACTTGTGGTATTATATATGATGAAATCTAGTCATATAAATTTTTTATTGAATCGTTTTATTTTTTGCCATATCTTCGTAGTCGTTCGCAAAAATCCCATCAAACTCGGCATTGTTGAATTTGTTATAATGAACTCTACTTCAATATGGAATAATATACTGGGTGTCCCTATTCAAATAAGAAAGTTGAGGTGCACTTCGGTGTGACCCTGTATACCTACGATTTATTCAATAGCACATTTCGAGTGAGCATCATCAAATATACTGGGTGACCAAATTTCAAGTCATTCGATCGCGCCGTTGGTTTTTTACAGGGGGGGGCATTTTAGCTGGGACACGGTGTATACAGTGTGTCCCGCTTTTCATGAATACATCCTGATATCTCAGTTATTGATGATGCTGTTCTCTTGAAATTTCAGTGGTGATTTTATGTTAGAACAATGAAGTATTTGGCAGAATGGACAGTTTCATTTTGTAACCGCTCAATAGTGCTCCGCTCAAAGATTAAATGTTCTGATTGATTTGTGAGTGTTGCGCCCAGACTATTGTGAAGTCTCGAGTCCCGGCGATTGCCGGCAAGCAGTCATTAGAGGTCAAGTAAGGACGTTGGCGGCCTACGTGCTGAAGAGTCAGTCGTCGCCCGAGAGTTGAGAAGGGTAGACGGCGTTCTTGTTCGCCCTGTGGCGATCTATTTTTCTATGAGTATTTTCACGTTACCAAGCTAGCTACTCATTAATCTGCAGAGGCAGAATATTGTTGTGCACTAGTTAGTGTGTTCCAGTTCCTGGTACCAGGCGAAAACGACTGCAAAACCCTAGAAAGGGTTACGTGAGTAAACAAAACCAAAAAACTGCTTACTACAATAATACAGAGATCAATTGTGTGTGGGGATTTGGGGAATTTAGACTGCATTTCTGAGTTATTAGGACAGGACGGATGTTTAGAGGATATTTGTTTCTATTTTAGGATTTTAGGTTGGTCCGATTGACCATACCGAGTTGTTACTTGGTTGTATTTTGTATGTACCATTTCTTCGTATTCTTGTGTTGAGAGTAAAAATAGATACCTATTATACTTGACTAATTCTGATTTTCATATGGGACCTTTTTCCCTGAACATTAATAGAGTCTATCACATTTGGCGCCCAAACTTGAGGGCCACTGTTTATCGATATATTTGATATTTGAATAGTGGTCGAGGCCATATAGAAAATCAGAATGGTGGGTCGGCAAGGAAAAGGTAATAAAGAAGACGACGCGTCTTCAAAACCGAGTGCAGAACATGGTTCATCCACTAAACAGGGTGATGAAAATGTAGCAAATCAGTCAGATTTAGTTTCTGATTTAATACAAGGTTTGAATTCTACTTTGAGTTCAATTTTATCAGATTTGAATGCTAATGTGACCTATAATATGTCACAAATTAATAAAAACATTGTGCAATTAGCAGAAAAGTTACCAAAAGATAATGGAGGGGAGAAATCCGAGAAAAAGTTACAGGGGGAAGTTCAAAATTTTGATTTGGGTTCAGGAAATAATAATGTTCGAAATCCTAATGAAAATTTAGTGAACAGGTCTTATATTGCTGCATTTAAGGATCTGGGGGGTAGTTCATTGTATTTTACACCTGGGGGGTCAGTACACCCTATAATATTTATAAAAAAATTAGCAAAATTATTTGATGAGGCTGGAGTGCCTGATGGGAAAAAAGTATTTTTTGCTTTACAATGCTTACGTGGATCGGCTCAAGACTGGGCTTCTTTTAAAGAGGATTCTTTTGTTGATTTTGAAAGATTCAAGCATTTGTTTTTAGATAGGTACTGGAGTGTGGATGATGAGAGAGAAATATTCAAGCGAATGAAATTTGGAACGTATCAATCGGGATCTAAAGCAGATTATTTCCTAAAAATGCTCAGTGAAAGTAAATTGTTATCACAGACACTAAATGAAAATGAACGTGTAGAAATGATTGTCAATCATTATCCACCAGAAGTGAGGAAAGCTATTTTTAATTGGGGTATTAAAACGGCGGAAGATGTTGAGAGATTTTTGAGACGAATGGAAAGTACTGAAGAGCGAAGTTCTGGTTCGGAAAATCAAAGTTGGCGCGAACGGAATCAACAACGCGGTAGCGGGAGACCGTACCAACATCAATCGAGCGGTAATTCGCATAGCAACAGCGGCAGCGGCAATAGCAATGTAGGCGCGAGAGGTTCGAGCGGCGCGAATACTGAGAATAACGATGTAGTACGTAGGCCAGGGGTTTCTAGAGGGGAAGTGAATACTGTTTTTAATGAATCTTTTGAGGAGGTCTTAGAGGATGAGTTAGTTCCAGGTGATGTATCAGTTGCGGTGTTGCCAACTATTGAAGTTTGTACGGAGGATATAAAGAATTGGGTATTGGTGGATACGGGGTGTCAAGTAACGTGTGTATCACAATTATTTGCAAAAGAATTATTAGAAAAGAATCCGAGAATACCTAGATTGCCTACGAATGTTTTGACGGTATCTGGTGCACTGGGAAAACAAAGAGATCAAGTTAGAGAACAATTGTATTTATCTTTTAAAATAAATGATGAATTTTCTTTCGATTATCCTTGTTTAGTTATTCCAAGTCTGGCGAGGAAAATCATTTTCGGATGCGATTGGCTTCAGGAATTCAGGGCAAATTTAGATATTGCAAAAAAATGTTTGACTATGTGTATAAACGAGCAGAATGTTATTGTTAATTTCGTAGGAGAACCAATGCCGAGTGTTCATTTGACAGTTAAGGAAATATTGTGTGAGAAAGAAAATGCGGTGTTGTCAAATGAAAAAAATATAACAAAATATTGTTATACTGAGGAGGAAATTTCGGAAGTGGCTAATAAAGCAGATCTACCTAATAGTTATGATAAAGATAGGTTGTTGCAACTTTTATTAAAATATAAAAATATTTTTTCGGATCAGCCAGGTCGTATGAAGGGATATATGCATGAAATTTTGTTGCGTGACTATACACCATTCTATTTGAAGTCGTACCCTATACCGTATGTGCATAGGCCAGAGGTACAACGACAGATTGATGAAATGTTAACGTGGGGGGTTATTAGAAAAGCTTCGACAGAATACGTGAGTCCATTGGTAGTGGTGTCGAAAAAGGGGGGTCAACTGAGGGTGTGCTTGGATGCACGATTTTTAAATAGTCGAATGATCAAGGATCATGTGTTACCGCCGAATCCTGGGGAATTATTATTCAGTTTTACTGATGGGCAGTGTTTAAGTTCCCTTGATTTAACTGCTAGTTATTGGCAGATTGCTATAAAGGAAGAACATCAAAAATTTACTGGGTTTAGTTACAATGGAGAAACTTATGTTTTTCAAGTTCTACCTTTTGGTTTAAGTACTTCAGTAGCGAGTTTTATACGGGGATTGAAGGAAATATTAGGTGATGTAGATGATTTTATAATACCATATGTTGACGATCTATTGATTTATTCGAAGGACCTATCTGAGCATTTACGTCATTTAGAAGTCATTTTTGAAAAATTTCTCAAAGCAGGTATAACTATTAAATTACGGAAATGTTGTTTTATTCGGGAGAGTATAAATTTTTTAGGCCATTTTATAACTCCGCAAGGAATTGAAATGGATGAAGAACGAGTTAAGGCTATAGAGAAATTTCCAGTCCCTCGAAATATTAAGGCTCTTAGGTCATTTCTTGGACTCGTGAATTACGAGAGACGGTTCTGTAAGAATTTTTCCAATCTTACACTTCCATTGTTAGAATTATTGCGAAAAGGAGTATCATGGAAATGGGGTACTGAACAGTTAGAAGCTATGAACAAAATTAAAGAAGCATTTTTAAAGACAGTTATGTTGAAGCACCCGCGATCGGAATGTAGAT